AGGCGCGCCGCCGGGCCGCGAGACGGGTGCCGTGCGCACGCGCGCGCCGGTCGGGGACACCGCCCGTGGGGTGGGCGCGCCCGCGAGCCAGCGGACGGCGCATGCGCTGCGATTTGGGCGCGCCCTCTGAGGGATCCGAGGCAGCGGCGTCGGCCGGGTCAGTCGTGGGGAGGGAATGTTTGCGCATGCGCGTACTGGGGGGGTGAGTGGGGCGGCAGGGAGAGTTGAAAGGAAGGAGACTGTGAGGGGTTAATGGGGGAAGCTGAGGAAGGGCCGGGAAGGGCTGCAGGGCCCCTTTTCAGGCGCTGTGCGGCTGGGCGCGCTTCCTGAGCCTGGTGGGTTGGACTACAGGTCCCATCACCCCCAGCTAGCGCATCAGAATTCCCGTCATTCCCAAGCCCGCCTAGACATTTGCTGGAGCCACCATCAACGACGTGGCCCTTTGGCTCCAAGGTAGCCATTAGACTACAAGTCCCATCTCTCATCCCTTGTGGCCATTAGACAGCAAATCCGATGCCCTCAATCCAGAAAGTAATTGACTACAATTCCCATCTCCCACTCCCTGTGGTCATTAGACTGCAGGTCCTGTGCCCCCAAGCCAACTACAGATTTGTACTTCGAATAACCCTGTAGTATTATAGAGAGGTGTTGTTTCTCATAACACGCTTTATATTTACATATGGCTTATATAATATCTCCTAACATATTCTTCTTGAAGGTTTTGCCTTTAGTTAATACTGGAAATGCAATAAATGAAATATTTGGAAGGTGGTTATACTTGCTGAAGTTTCGAATGGATGACTTTGGGCCAGTCCTTCTCTCAGACCCCAACCCACCTCACAGGGTTGTTGTGGTGGAGAAAATAGGAGGCAGCAGTACAGTATTAGGTATGTTCGCCACCTGGGACCTTCAAGCTGAGAAGGTTTTGGATAATGAGCAGGCTAAGATCTTATGGGACTTTAAGATCCCAACAGACAGGCACCGTGTTCATAACATGCCTGATCTAACAGACTTTGAAAAGAAGAAAGTCTGGTTCATTGATGTGGCTATACCAGGTGGTGCTAGGATTGAGGAAAAGCAATCCAAAAAAAATTATGAAATACCGGGACTTGCAGATCAAAGTTGAATGCTTATGGAAAAAGAAATACCAATCGTGATTGGTGCCTTCCAAGCAATGCCTAAAGGTCTCCCTCGATATCTGGAAATGTTGAATTTATCAGACCTGAATACCCTAATTTTACAAAAAAACACCCTGCTAGGAACTGCTTATATTCTCAGGCACTACCTTAATAATTCTTAGGTCCTTGATTAGGACTTGAATTATTAAGTTTTTACCAGTCTTTGATGTGAATCTAATTGTAGACCACTATACAATTAATATATAATAATATTAATAATATGTGCACAGAGTTTGTAGCACTGTACCAGTGGTGGTTAAAGGGGATAAACACATTTCATGCCTTTTCCTAACAGAGCTGTGCTTTGTATGCTCAGTTAGAAACTGACTTTTGAGGAAATATAACCAGAATCAGCTCCCTTTTGTTGTCTCAGTGCGATTCCTGTGGCTGTTCTGGTATTATAAAAGAACTAACGAGTGGAGGCATGGGTCTGAAGAAGAGTTTACCTGGGGTAATTTTGCTAATGCATGTCTTTGCTGTGATTAACTCTTATTAATTCGGTGGTTGCGCTACCCTGCTGGAATTGCATGACAATGAGGCCCGGCAAGTTGGAGATAAAAAGGGATTGGATTGCAGGAGGGAGTGCCATCTTCTGTGTATTCTCACTTACCGTGTTCATTGTCAATGTGATGTTGGCTGTTCATTTCAGAACAAATCCACTCTGCTTGTGGTTTATGAAGCTTGTGATTGACAGTTTGAGGTCACTGCTTGCAAAGTATGTGTGCCAGTAGTTGGTTCAATTAATCTTGCAGCCAAACCAGGCATTGTTTGGCTCTGTGATAAGTTTATCTTTTTATAAAACATAAACACATTTTGAGTGGGAAGCACTCAGGTCAGGATCACATTATATCAGGAATGAAATTAAACCACCCAGTCCCCCCAACAACTGTTTGCAAAGACCAGTTTGGGAAATACCCTTGGATTCCAGAAAGTATTCAGCAGGGCCTGGTAGTGGAGATTTTAAATCTGTGAAGCTTCCCTCTTGCTCCATTTGTACCAGCTGTTTGCAGCAGTTCCTCTGGTCTGAGAAAGAGAAGGACTTCTCCCACCCTCCTCCTCTGAGGAAGGCATCTTCCGCTGAGTAACAGTTTTTCCCCATTTAAGTTCCCATTTGTGAGACTCCCAGAGTTGCTTTTAAGGAAAAATGTCAGGGATCTTGCCAAGGATTAACCTTCATCCCTGTTGGCATCAATTTCCACCTGTCTCATCTAAATAAGAAAATGAGGGATCCATACAACCTTGACCTACCCATCGGTCTTCCCATAATTGGGTCATATTGCATCTCCTATAAACAGCCCTTTCTCACGTTCTTCCTTGGATGCTGTTGGGCCTAATCTTCTTGTAGTGATAAATATTAATGATCTTTGCAGGATGTTTTGCAAAGGTGCCCCTTCAAAGAATAGGGAGCTGTTTCTTACAAGCTGGTAAATGACAGCGCGTAGATTATGCTGGCTGCTTTTGCTTGATGAAATGAGTATTGCAGTGAGAGACAGCGAGTATGTGCTGACGTTTCGCTTTCCATGCTGCAGACGCCCTCAAAGCAGACCTGAAACTGAACTTGAGCAGTAGATGTTGCATCCTTATACTGTCCGGGTTCATTGGTGGAAATGTCCACAACCGGTCACTAATCACCATGGAGGTCACCCTTGTTAACCTTCCTATTTAAATTATTTGGGCGTTTGTAAATTTTGGTTGCCTCTCTAATAATTTCTGTTCCATTATGCTGTGATGTTGACATTCCCCTGGTCTCTTTGTATGTTCGTTTCGTTTTTTTAAATAATTTTGATTAAAAGATTTTATATAGATTTTAAAAACTACAGAAATATAAAAGAAAAAGTCGGAAAAGAACGAAAATACAAAGGGGCAAAAGAAAAAGTGAAAATAATAGAAAAGGAAAAATTATCTAAAGAAGTGACTTCCGATCTTCTTTGCAGTAGTTACAAACGTAACAATTACCATTTCCACCCTCCCAAATTACATAACATGGTTCCCTTCCTCCCATAGACAAACCTTTTTAATCAATACATCCCGAAATCACAATTTCTGTCCATTTGCAGCAAAAAGTCCATAAAGGGTTTCCATTCTTTTATAAAAGTAATTGTAGTTCTCTCCTTAAACAAGTCAATTTAACCATTTCTGCATACTCAGTCCTCTTCACGATCCACCCCAATCTCTTTTGTGATTTGGCTCTTGTGATGGGTGTTCAGCCACTGCTGGCTGGCCTATTGGGCTGAAAATGTTCCCTTTTGTCTTTAATTTTCTGTCCAGTGGAATATCCAGTTTATCCAATGGGAGTGTCTATACACTGGCAGTTTATTTTATGCCCTCCCTCAGTTTTTAGTTTGGATCAGTGTTTCTCAACCTTGGCAACTTGGGGAATTCTGGGAGTTGAAGTCCACACAGCTTAAAGTTGCCAAGGTTGAGAAACACTGGTTTGGAGAGCTTATAATTAGAGGGCAGCTGTCAGGTTCAGCCCAAAGAACTCCCCGAGACAGCACAGATACAGTTCTGTTGCGTTTATTAGCTTCCACCTCAAGACAGA